TTTGCCCTTCTCCTATCCTCTCCTAGGTTACAGAACAACAGGAAGAAAAAAGCCCTTACTGTTATGTCAGATGTTTCCTCTGAAGGCCTGACTGCAAGATCTTAACCTCCAACTTTGTAACCCATATTATCAGATGAAGCCAATAAAATTGTTCTAGTGAAGCTGATGTGAAGGCAGATACAGAGTCCCCCTCTCACCTGCTTATGGTTGGGATCCACATCTAAAAGATGGAAGGCAGGTCCAGACATCCATCTGCTGTCCACAAATGCTATTTTCTTCTTCTTATCAGCCACTGATCTATTTAACTGCCACTTTTTGAGAAGACTTGAAAACACAAAACCGGAGACATCAGTGCAGTGAAACATCTAATGATGAGACATCCACATTTTGACGGGGGCTATGCGGGACACCTCTGGTGAAATAGCACTATTATTATTATACTGTTATTACTATTAATAGCACTATTAATATTAAAGTTATTTCCAACATCTTTTTAACAAAATAAGATCAAGACAGGACTGTCTCAAAGCAGCACCAGTCCTCCAGTTCTAACATTTCCAAGTGTTTTGTTTTCTTCTATTCAGGGGAGTGAGGGACCAAAAAAAAAAATACTACCTTGACAATATACCTTCCAGTCTGGTAACAGCAGGCAGTACAATCAAGCCTTTCTCAATTTAGTCATTCCATTTTTATGCCTATTCTGACACTATGTATGAATATATTCACACATGTAGCACAGTATTAAATTTTAATACAGACTAGCAAATATGAGCAGCTGTTTGACACTGCACAGTGAGGGCAAAATAAATTAAGTCTGCATTTGCAGAGGATTTTAGCTCTGTTTATACTCTTGCAGGTTTGTAAAAGGCACAAATCCCAGTTGCAGATATAGCCTCCTTGGAGATATCTCCAGATCAGACAGCGAGGAGAACAGGAAGGTGAGGCACAACAGCAGAAGTCACCCAGTCTATGTCCTATTTCCTCTAATACAGACTGGCAGTACAAGGGTGAGCCAGGTCCTAAGGAGACACTGCCTACTCCAAGTGTGAGGTAAAGGCAGCTTCATAGACTACTCTGGTGCCCAGATTCTCTAAAATGGTTTTCTTGAAAGTAATGATTTCCAGTTTACAAACAATTAAATAAAATCTCGTCTTGCTCCTAGCATTGTAACATAGCTGTTCACTTTCACAGCACAAAGCATCAAATGTGTCTGGTCATATAGCAGTAAAGAGCATCCCCTTGAAGGGATATGAAGAAGTTGTACATGAACACTTACCCAGTTGCCGTCTCCTTCAGTGATCTCCACGACTCCTTCAGCTGATCCAGCTCTGCCTGGACATGGGCAGTCTCCTCCGGGGAAGAATTCTCCATGACCAGCTGGCCATGAGCTTCCACAAGGTGCAGCTGGATCTCCTTATCTGGAAACTCAGCTAGCCATCTCTGAAACGTACAGCCCTTACAGTTACTTCTAGGTATCCTGGGTAAAGCAGAGGCTATGTCAGACTGAAGGCCATGTTCAGTCCAGGACTATGCTGGTTCTGTTGGCACTAGCTAGAACATACCTAGCAGGAAAAAAAATACGCTGTGGATTCTTGCAAACAGCCAACATAGATCAAAGAGCTGATGGCAAAACTCGAAGGGCGCAAGCTGTCAATGCACCCCCTTCTGTAGCCTTCCCATGAGATATCTTGGTTTCCCATATGAAGGCAAAAGCTGCCAGCTGAAGTAACCTGCCAGAGTGAATCTAGCATGCAAAATACTGCTACACAAGGAAAAGCAGCAGTGGAACAGCTCAGTTCAACACAGTATAAGGTTAGCGAACAGGGTAATAATGTTGAATGTGTCGATGAGTACATACAGGCAAAGGTAAGTATTGTCCAAAGAGATCACCCTGGCAGAAAGAGCTCTTTTTAAAACCACTTATACTTTGATAGTACTTTATCCATACCAACACTTCTTAGCCATTTCTCACTGTTCTTGTCTTCTACCTAGCTCCATATCCCACAGTACAGGGCAAAGCAGGGAAGCAGCAGCAATCAACAGTTATCGCAGGAGGAACAAACCATCATTACTCTCCCCAAACAGGAAACCCTCGCTAGAAACCCCCCGCCCTTCATGTCTGAACACTGCAAAGAGAATAATTAACATCTTTCTTACACTAAGATGCTTTTCTTACCTCAAGGTCTGCCACCCTGCCCTTGGTGTTCTGCTCTCCATCAGCACTCTGGTAGGAGTCAATCTTCTCCGTGGTTACTGTGATCCACTGCTGGAGGTCAGAGAGTTTGTCATTATATGCCCAATGCTTCTGAACGTGCTCTTCACTCTGCTGTACCATCATCTACAAATGATAAAATATGTCAGCAACTAAACACAGACAAAAAGCAGTTTCATTACTGGATCTAACACGGTGACTACTGGCACAGAATCTCCTGGGCAAAAAGAAAAAAAAACAGCTGTTAATGAGACACAAAAACTTTATCCTTATCAGTGGCATAGAAAACACCTACAAACTCCTGCAGGCCTGAATTTAACCACATGGGGGGGCATTAAGCACTAGAACAGCTCCCTTCCTTTTCAGCTGAAACAGAATAAAGAATATGTTTTTTTTTAATATACCCCAGTCAATATTAAATACTTCTTATACTGAAGAAATGACTGAATCAGAAATGACTGTACAGAGTTTTCTGGAAAAAGTCCAGTTCAGCAATAAATGGGATTATTGAGATTGAAACTAGAATTCCACAGTGCATATTAGGGTAACACTTTATTATACATATTTTTATGGTGACCTGCATAACTAAGGTAATTTTATAAGCTCTTCTTCTGAAACTGCTTTGGAAGGTCCTTTTATAGCTATGTTTACAAGCTACAAAATGCCTCAGGTCAAAACAAATAATTATGCAATTGCAACACTTTTCTCTCATTAACTTTTAGGTCACAAAACTATAAAAAACCAAACAGTTTGATACAAAAATACTATCCAGGAATCTGTGAAGAAGTCTAAGCACCTCCATGATAATATAACTATGAGGTCTTTTGGTGAGAAATCTCAGGCCCACTCCAGAAATAATTTATATAGATACAAAATCTGTGTGGATGGTATCCTATCCCAAAGGGAAACCACATTACAGATAACCAGAGAACCCTGGAAGCATTATCAAAGTCATAAGAATTCAGTGCCTTCTTCCCCTGAAATGAAAATATCTGTCACTCAAAGGATATAATCTCATATACTCAAAGATTTTTTTCACGTATTTTTAAATAATGGCAACTGACAATTCCTCAGGCAACTAAAAACTCTTCCTTATGCTACCTCCAGTGATCTCTTCAGGGCCTGAGAATCAGATGAAAGTTGGTTCATTTCATGCCTGTGTGTGGTATTTGACTGTACAAGCTTCTCTACCTCCTCCATTTGAATCGCAAGCTCTGCCAAGTCATCTTGGATCATCTGCAGAGGAAAAGACAGATTCCATATGGGTAATGTGCTAGATGTGGCATGGACCTCCACAAAAGATATACTAAAAGGAGTTTAATTTGACAGCATGAGGGGGGAAAAAAAAAAAAAAAAGGATCACTGCCATTAAGAAAATTAATTTTTTTGATGTCTAGAAATAAATGTTTCTGAAAGAAATGGTTGGACATTCTTACATGTTACCAGTTGATAACAAAGACGACAAGTTGCTGAGAAGCTGCCAGAGGAGACATAGTATAATTAGCTAAGTACTGCAAAGAACTGTGGTGATAGCACGCCTGTGGTCACCGAGGGTGAAGTGGAACCATATAGCTGAATCACCGTAGCTCACCATGGCGAAAAGGGAGAGTCACATCCCCTCTTCTTCCCCTCCTGCTCTTCTCTCCCTTCTCCCAGCTATGTAGTCCCACTGCATGCCTTGAGCAAGCTCTACTGCATATTGGACCCTTCGCTGAACCAGTTCAAAATACTAACCAAATGGAAATTATCATCTTTTTCTGTCGGTTTTTTTTTATCATCTTGGCCAGCTGAATTAGCCCATGGAGTAAATCCAGCATGTGTCAAAGCTGTGACAAGGTAAAGAGCAGAAAGGGGGGGATGCAGAAGGAGGTGGGACAATGGGAACTCCCTGCTTTTGGAGGGAGTTAGACTGGTTCAGGTTATCTTCTGCAGTTTCATTCCTAGTGGGAAGTATTAGGATACATTTTCTTTAGCAATAAAACTAGCCCAAGAAGATGTGGCACCAACAGCTTCCAGCTGCTTGTTCCTTCCCTCAAGCCCAGTTTGCCAGTTCTTCAGCTGCACTGCTTCAATTTAATCTACCCCATGCTATAAACTGGACCGAATAAAATTACCTAACACACAATCGAGGGGACAAGGTACCGAATTCCTAATGCTAATAAAATATGAACAAACAGGACCACAATTAACTGAGGATATCACAGTCAAACATTACGGTAATGTACCTGGAGTCTCTGGAGTTGTGTCTTTTTACCCAGGAGGTCAGGCCGTGGTTCCTTCTCTAGATCTAATTTGGCTTTGATGGCAGATAATTTCTTCTGCAAAGGTGCAAAACCAGCATCAAAGTCCTTATGTTGCGATATCGAATTCTAGATGGAGAAAGAAGATGAAAAAAAATCCAGCATTTGACACATCCCTTGGCATTATCTTTTGTCAATGTCCATTTCATACTCAGAACAAACACCAAGCTACACTATGCAACAGACCACAAGTTTATTTGGATCAACCTAGAAAAAGGGATTGTGCACAGCTGGTTACTACTAAATTTGTATCTATAAAACTGGCCTAGTAAAAGATTGATCATTGTCTTTGTCCCAGGCAAAGACTGTATGTGGGCTTTGAAGCTCACCTGGAGTTTGCTCTTGCGTTGTAGCAGACTTTTGTGTAGAATTTCTCTCTCCTTCGAAGCTTCAGCTACTTCTTGCAGGAAAGACTTTGCTTTTTCCTCACCAAGGATATTGTTTAGCAAATCTTTCTTTAGCTGTAATGTCATCAACTTCTCTTTGAACTGGGAACTTTCAGCTAGAGCAGCCTAAAGAAGGAAAAGTCTTCCAGTGAAATCATACCAAAAAAAAAAAAAAAAATTATATAACCGTATTATTCTCACACAAGTCACACAACCAAAGCAGTATGACAAAGTCAGGTAAAAACAGCATGCTGGGCCGACAAGGGGTAACAGAAGGTACCTGGACAGTGCCCAGTTAAAGGAAAAGTCTTCCTGACAATGTTAGAAGCACCAGGGCTGCATCCATTTTGTGAACAGAAATAGAGGAAAGCTGTACTATGGAAAGAGTTGTCTGTGCAGAGAAGAGGCCTAAACAACCAACAGAAAGGACAGCTTGAATGCTCATCCCAAGGATAAACTCCATCCCTGTTCACAGACTCGTTTATTCTGGAGATCACAGGGATGACAAAGTAACAAACACACCTTCCTGGGCACATGCAGAAATCATGCATTATAATCCCATGACTATATTACTACACACTTCTTAACAGAGTCCACAGACTTCCTGTCCAGGGAGATCTGGGCTAATCCTAAACAATAGTAACATCATTGTTAAAGATATCTAGCACTTTAATTCAGCCTATTCGGTTGACAACTCCAGTTAACCAAATGGAGGGCAGAAAGTAAGACATTCTGCTACAGCTAGAGCTAAGTATTGACCTCCGTACTGTGGGGTTTCCTGCCATCCTGGAAAGGCCCTTCCAGCTGCTGCTGTCCCACAGCTGTATGCAGGCAGCTGCTGGCATAGCTGGGGCAAACACAAACCAAGTATCAGTTTCTGAACTTAGTAACAGGTTTGCTACCTCAATGTGAGCCAGCGCTGGCTCCGGGGTCTCCAGGAGCATCTGGATCGATGGCTTCCACTGTTCAAAATCTTGCAGGGGATTTTGGAAGAGTCTTCTCAGTTGGGTTTCTGTATCAGTGCTCATTTTAGATGTCTTGCCTCTAACACTGCAAGGATAAAGTGACAGCCGAGAGAAGGATTACGAAGAAATCCAAGTCCAAACATCCTATTCATCAAGGCATGAATCAACACAATACTCGTGTGTAAACTGTATCCAACACAAAAGCCTCAGTCTTTTTTACTGTCTAAGCCTGGTGTTGCATACTGACAGCTGCTCTGTCAGAGACATCCGACAAAACTTTATTTAGATGCCATAAGACACATTTGTCTCTTGTGCAACTGTGTATCAGGAATTACTTTGCTTTTCCAGCAGCCAGGAGTCTTCTCTTGTATGTGATCTTTCTTGGCTGCTATCACCAGCATGATTTAACAAATCATTTTATTGGAGCAGTCTCACTGACTGATGGGAAGAACAAGCCAAGAGTATCTAGAATTTAACTGCAGTTGCCTGTATTGTTTTACATATTACCGAGTCTTTGTTCCTTTAAAAAATTACATTAAAAAATCTTTAATCACCCTATGTTACCTATAAGAAGAGGAAAACACATATTTCTTTCAGATATACATTTTTAAATTTTTGCAGAACCACTTGTATTTATATTTATATATAGGTGATTCTGATAAAAGCTTTGTATTTTTTTATATATGTATACGCACACACACAGAGCTATGTATGTGTGTGTATATATATATTAAAAAAAAATAAAATCAGCACACATTCATTAAATATCCAGGCTTCTCTTATAAAGGCTTATCCAAAATACGGCGGAGTAACAAGGCGTAGCAGTGACACACCCCATGCAGCTGCCTCCTGTTTTTCTCAGCTTTCCTGACCTCCCAGTTTGCAGAATCCTATTTGATATGGCAGAATGAAGCCCAAACTACATGTTCATATGGGAACAGTATCCTGCAAATTCACAAGACGGGCAGGCAAGAGAATGCCAATCAAAATTAATACTGCCTTTCTATAAAAACAGAAACAATAATCTTACCTGTGTCACTGGGACGTTATGGAGCTAAACAAAGGCAAGTTTGCAGAGGCCAAAAGCTCCGCAAATAGAAAGTTCTGACATTACACGTCCTTTGCCATTTGCTCTGCTGCCCCTGCCAGGCTCAGCGTGAAGCTGCCAGACTTCGCAAAGAAGCTTTGGAGAGAAGCTGGCAAAAGAGCAGCTGCCATTTTCTACTCAGAGGCAAGTTCTCCTGCCTTCTCTGCTTCTCTTTCAACATCGTTTACTTGCTAGTTTTTAAACTGAAATTCTTTCCCATAATGGCCTATAACCCTTCCAGCAGGACAGCATACTGTGCACTGGACAGAGCAAAATAAGCTTGGATACAGTAAAAAAACTGACCTTTTGGTTTCCTTAAAAAAAATGCTCCTTTCTTCTAGTTTGCAAAATTTGCTGCAGCTTCTTTACTTCCTGATTCCAGGCAGCCTGGAAACGGAAACACTGAAGTCTGGGGAGAGGCTAAACTTTCAGAGTTTCCAACCCAAGGCAAGTTGAAAACAGGAATCATGCATACACGCCGCCAGGAGAAGGGGAATAAACTCTGCCAAATAATTGCTAAGGCTGATGAGTCATCACAACAAACTCAACAAGACAGGGCCATAATTCTTCTGAACCGTTTACTACTACAGCTCCTGTCCTGATTTTCTAGCTGCTGTCATGAAAGGCAAGCAAAATACATAAATGATTATTATTAAATGCTAAGAAGACCAAATTAGCTGCCAACAATCTAATTTTCTTCAAACCATACACGACATTAATGATGCAAAATCATTGCTTGAAAATGGCCAGCAGCCTACACCTCCTAGCAATTGGCTAAAATTACAGGTTTACTGAAACGTGGAGGCGGATGTAATTAGCAAAAGCCTTTCTTTTCTACCCGTCACCTACAATCAGACGGCATATCACTTTCTTCTTAGGCCTTTGTCAATCCCTTCAATGTCTGAGAGAAGATTCCCCTCACCCCCCCAGCATAATCAGACTTCCCAGTACCTTTGATACTGCTGTATTGCAGAGACAACACTCTCAGCATGTGGCTGCACATCTTGGGAAAACCGTAGCAGTTCCTTAAGCTGAGCCTTCAGCCTCTCAACCTTGGACTCTTCTGCAGCCAGAGCTGCTCTCGTTGCCTTAATCATAAAAATAATGAACAGATCACACCTCATGTAGTGTCTGGCAGATGAAATGAAGAGATAAGGCTGTCTCTCAAGGTATTCACAAGTCCCCTTTCTGCTGCCCTTTTTCCTGTTGTAATGAATATGGACTTTACTAGGCCAGAAAACACTCTCAGGAACAGTTTTGTTCCTGGAGGCTCGCTCTCCTCTCCTCACGCTGCCTAGCCTCTGCATCTCATCTGCAAGGTTCACTGTTTGAACAGAGAATCACAAATAGGCCCAGTTTCAGTTCACTGATTGCAGTATATAACATGAGATGCATTTCTGGAGCAGTCTTAACCATGTCTGCATGAACAGATCTTTCTCAAACACTCATATATACAGAATGTTAATTCTAGGGTGACGTCGGGAAACAAAAACAACAACAAAAAACCAAATGTGGCTGGATAGAACCAGTCTGTATTTTGTGGATCCTTTTTGCATATACTTTTCCCAGCTAGTCCTGCTGAGTTCTAGGCATACAAATAGCAATGAAAGGTATTTTGAGAAGAGATAATAAATGCAAAACCAACCCTCAAGAGGAAATGAGTGGTAAAGATTCATATCTACTTTATGTGTGACAAACTTTTTGCATTCATTTTTGCAACAGATTGATTTTGGTGTAAATCCTGGATTGCTACAAACTTGGGACTTCTCAAGAATGAAGCTGTGTCTGACGGTAAAGGAATACAGGTACCCACCTTACGCAGATGAAGGATATAATACAGAAATGGTCTTACCAAATATGTGTACTTGTGTGTGTGTGTATGTATGTATGTATTTCTATATACAATGAGGCATTATTTTTCCTGCTTCGTTTTAAGTAGAGCAAATTCTGTTGTTTGCTCTGTATTGTGCTCTTTTTGCCTATGGTCCCTTTGAACTCAAGACATGAACTCCAACACATCCTCCAACCCTGCTCCCTCTGCGCAGAGTGAGATAAAGGTTAGAATAGTTGATTCCATTGTTGCTATTCACATTTTCCTCAGTCTGTTTTATACACACTCATACTCTTTCCTTACCACCTTTAACCAATGGGACAGGCACCTGTTGGATGTGACTATACATATTCAATCTATGACTGCTAGTTTTAGGCATATAAAGGGTAACAACTCACATTGCATCTTCTCCACAGAGTTACAAACTCATCTTCAGTCTTTTCCCCTTCCCCAGGGTCCAGGTCATTTTCTAGTCTCTGAAGATCTTTTTTCAGCTCCTGGATATCTGCTTCTAATTGTCTGGCTTGGGACTTGTAGGCACTTTCTGACTGTTGGATCTTGAGCAATCTCTCCTCCTCCTCACTACTCAGCAATTTCAACTTCTCCAAGGCTTTTTTTAGCTCTTCGAGTTCATCCTTGATTCTCTCAGCTCCGAGTGGGGAGGTATTCTGAATCACCTCTGCACACTGATTTTCAAGGTGCTTCCATTTCTTTCCACCACTCCTAATGTTTTTGGCAATTTCCTGCAGAAAGAAGTTATATAAAAATTAGCTGCAAGAATGGGAAGTTGGGGAAAAAGGTGAAAGCAGTAGGAAAATAAGACCACAACTCTTGGTTGTACATATTTTCTTCTTCACTTCTTATTTCAAAGTATGTCTTTCTTCAAGTGATCAGAAGCCAGGGTTAGTCATTTCACTGCCTTCTGAGTAATACTAACTGTCACGATTCTGAAAATACTGGCTTGATTTTCAGAAATGCTTGTCACCTGAGGTCCCTGACAAAGAAAACAGGAGCTGCAGGCAGTAAGAAATACTAAAAATCAGATCTCTCAGAGATTTAAAGCTGAACAGTTTAAGCAGTGGCACCAAAATACTGGATACTGTTCTCAAAACTGGTATTTTTATCACTCTCAGAGTCTAAACTCTCAAAACCTGTGAGCCTTCAGGCTCTATTTGGATCATGTTTACCAAATATCATTCATTTAAACAAGTTTAAAGGGCAAGATTCTCAAAGAATCACATAACCATAGGAGATCAGGTAAGAAAAACAAAGCAGACCAGCCTGCGACTCATGCTACAGTTGGGAGAACAATATGTACTAACAGTGTTAGGACCTGATACAATTCTTCTCCCCTAACCCATGTTACAATCACCACCTTATTTTGTTTGTGTAAATCTTTTCTCAAGTACACCCTTGCGTGGTTTGAGAAACATATATAGGCATGGAGAACACACAATCCTGGCTCCTTGTCAGAATATATTGTTTAAGGACCTTCAGTGCCTTTAACTTGTCCTCTGCCGAAGACTTGGTTGCTTCTCCAATGCAGCAGTTTAATCCTTCTGTCACACCATTCAGCCATGATTGAAACTGGTTGACATTAGCGCTGTATTGCTCATGTTCCTTGGTTATCTTTTCAAGCAGTTTCACTCTACTCTGTAACAAGAGACATCAGAAGCTGTGAGGACAGTATTTATTTGGCTCTTTTTCCTTTACACTAACCCAGAATTTATAAACAAGAGTCCCTTTCCACGAGCCCCGACGGCAGTTGGCCTCCACAGGAATTCACAGTTCACCTCAAGAAACAGGACACAAAAGGACATAAAGGCTTGTCCCCGTCTCAGTCGTGCTGCAGGCTCTCAGTGGCTAATCTCCAAGGAGACAAACTGCAAGGTCCTCTCAGGTGAATTTCTAGCCTCCCCTTTCCAAAACTTCCTATTCTCTCAGAAAAAGAAACGAGACAGAAGAAGTTTCTGGTTTTGATTCTGGGAGACAAGCAGTTATGTTCCTCACGCTGATTAAAAAGAAAGATGAGCACACAACTCAGACTTTGCCTATCTGTCAAAATGGGAGTAAGAGAGACCGTGCTAGGGGCATGCAAATTGTTTTAAATTGTTCATTATTTAAGCAAGCTGTATGGAAAATGATCATCACCTTCAATCATGTAGCCCAGGAACTTTCATACTTATTCAATTAGTGGATCACAAATTATCATGTAGTGGTACTGCAGACCCTGGAAGCAAATTTAAGCCTATGGGAAGCAGGCTTCATTTTCCGAGTTACTGTGTGTGCACCCTATAACCGACAATCCCTGAACTTACAGGGGGTGCACATCATGAGTTGCTCCCCGCTGATCCAGTCTGGCACCCCTCAAAAGAAGGCAGAGTCACATTTGCTCCAACTATCCTTGATTGTAAGCTAAAGTTTAGGCCTTGCTGAAGGAAATTCTATGCAAATCATGAGGAATCCTGCTCTGTTGTTTCTCTAGTATAATATCCAACCTAAGTATTATTTCCTACAAAATCAGACTGATTTTTTCTTGCCCTTCACCAGTTGGCATGGAGAGCAATTGAGGTACGCTATGGTTACATTAGAAAAAAATTGTTCCTTGTGCAATCCATTTAGTGCTTGCAGCACCCTTGAAAGGCTTTGCTGTCACAGACAACAGGCTGAGTTTCATTTTGCATAATATGGGACACGTCCCATGCCTCTGAGCAGAGCTTCATCCCAGCTGCCCTCCACAGAGAGTAGGGTGATAGCTGCAATGGCAGAATTTCAAAGTCTCCTCTGCGTTTCCCTTGTCTCTGTGAGGCTCTGGGCATGTCCCCACACCCATCAACCTGCCTGAGGTGGCAGTGGGCCACCGCCGTTCCGTCAGCCTTTCTCCAGCCAGGACAGCAGGAGGGTGGCATGAGCATCAGTCACCATGGGATCTCCTGTGTGCTGTGGAGTGGTGGTCGCTCTGGGACTTTGCCCTTCACCTTTGGGACAGGACTGCCCACGGTGCAGTACAAAGCCACCACACCAGTCTGTGTTTTCCACATTGCCGCTGCAATCTCTGCCGGCCACCACACCAGTCTGTGTTTTCCACATTACCACTGCAATCTCTGCCAACATGTGCAAATCAAGAGTGACTCCCCTGAAGCTAGTTGACTTGCTTTGGGACAAAAGAGGGACAGCTAAGAAACAACTGCTTCCCATGGAGGATGAAATGCTGCCCACTTGTTAGGGCAGGACCTTTAATAGCACCACCTATGCAAACATGGGTTTGGATGAGACCAAAAAGCAGAATTATGACTGCAGACTTCTGTGGCCAAGATGTATCCAGCAGAACACCTCACTTGTTTGCTAAATCCCCTTGTCTTGATTCTCCAATCTGCAGAGGTACATACAAGTTAAACGATTCTCACCTTGAAGAAATCTTATAGTGGTGTAAATGGGCCAAACATCGAAGTGAAACAAGTCAGCCCAAGCTTATTGATTCCAGGGAATTAGGCTAATTTGTTGCACTGACAGAAGCTCCAAAGGGAGCAAGTCAGAATAACAAAGAGGAGCTATTATTAAGCGCAAAAGTCTTACGCTAATATATAGAGAGTTAAAAAGGAAGTCGAAATGACCCACCCTTGGCCAGGCTATTCAGCCAAAACAAAGGAGCACACAGTTTGGATACTCCTGCTGGTCTGTGAGGTTAAGGAAGAGATGCCATGGATCTGGACAGACTGTGCTAGCTGTCAAACAAAAGGCTTACAAAAAGCTGGCTCAGCCCCCCCTCCCCACCCAAGGAGCTAGGCAGGGAAACTTTCTAACGATGGAAAATATGGTATCACTTGCTTCTGTTAGGTTAGCTGTTCGGGGAGCAGGACAGTATTAAACTCCATCTTCACACACACTTGGTTAATGTGAGGAGACATTAAGCAAGAACCTTTTTAAGAGTGAGAGCACGGACAGGAAAAGAATGGGTTTGCCATGGACTGCAGAGGAAGAGATGTGTCTGGGCAGAATATGCCCAGCCCTGGGTACTCAAGGAGGGTGGACGGCGGCATAGAAAACCCTCTTCCCTAAGCTCCCCTTACAGTCAGCAAAGGCAAACGAGCCTCCTCTGGAAGGCAATCTAGAGCATGTAAAGGAAGTTTCTCCTTTAAATCCCTCTGTGGCATCTCAAGAAGAGTACAGAAAGCTCCTGTAGCCCTTCCTGGTGCTTTTAGTCTTAGCTCTAGGGTATGTGAGGGTTGGCATTATAAATATCTAGGTTTCAGTTAATAGAGACAACATGGACTGAAATTCATTTGATGCACTCAGACATATTTGATATATTTGACTAAATGTACAGTATATATACTGTATATCATAACTTTCTTACCATGTTCAGTCATCATTTATGCTAAACCCCAGAATCATCTATCTCTGCATATTGTTATTTTACCAGGCAAGGGAAAGCATGTAGGAAATGGCTGCCACATGTAAAAATATCCCTGTTAATGTAATTAAAAGAAAATTATGTGCCTTTAAAATTTGGGAATGATAAGAACACATGTTAGCACTAAGAAAGAAAAAAAAACCCCTCACCATTTGCTCATACCAGAGAAGCAATGTCACAGGCAAACCGTTTTAAGAAACACTGTCCAAGAGCTTGCCTTCTGATAGAGCTGGACAACTGCATGGGATCTAAAAATGCTCTTCAAACACAAGTGTAATCTACAAACACCAGTGAACCTCCTCTGGGAGGCAGCTCAGGCATTCAGCTGGCATTCAGCTGGCAATTCACATTTAGCCTGGCCTCTCATCATGCAAGGGGCCGGAGCAATCCCCTTACAACTCCTGTGCCTCTTTCATTCATTCCTCCCTCCTGTTGGAAGAGGTGGTAGGGTTTCTCTAACTAGTGTTATACTTTCCGACATGATTCCCAAGGTGCCTGTAACCTTGGCATTAGCTAATGAACTCTGCATTTACTTCCATTGCAAAATCCAAGGCTTCCCAACTCCCTTCTTTGTTCCATGCCTCCTGAAAGAGGAATTTCCTAGCTGGATTCTCTCACTCCATCCTTCTATGAAATGTGGTATTTGTAACCAATGCCAAAGAAAAGCTTTTTCTAGCATCTCAGTTGGCTGGAGACATAAAGACATATTTTGTCTAAGTACTATGAGCCACTTCCTGATCTCATTTACACCAGCATTTATCCAAGTCAGTTAGAGAAATTACACTATGTAAAACCAGTCTCAGAGAGGTCACATTCTGGCTTTGAGTATTCAAATGACTTGTTTGAAAGAACTGCCTTATTAAAATAGCTAATGACTGTCTCCTGCTTCAAAACCAAAGACAAATCTTGGTTAGAATGGAGTGAATAAGAATTTTAAATGGCAATGTAGATAGACAACACCTGAATTCGCAGAAACCTTATTCATAAATCCAGTTGCCTTGTAATGAAGAGATCTACCTTTAAAAATAAATAATCAACACTGAGGCGCAAGTCTGTTGGTGGCTTTAGAGCCTCTCTGTGGCAGCCGCAGTTACAGAATTTGCAAATACGCTAGGGTTTTTGGAGAGACTTATTAGCAGGAGTTTTATCTTTATGGCTAAAAAATATCTGAATTTCATGCTCACGAAAGGTGCCAGCTTGGGATTTTTTTTGTTGTTTTGGGGTTCGGGTGGGTTTTTTTAAAACAGAAGAAGTATCTGTACAGCAAGCAGAGCAATGGCATGAGCATCCCAATGTTGTTCTTCCAGTGTGATCTGAAGTTAACGTTGTATGACAGCACCCAGGGCAGGAGAGCATACATCACTGTCAGGCTCCAGTTCTGGGCTGCGACATAGGTGTGGGAAGAAATAGAAGGCAACATTATGACAGAGCCAATGCAATGAAAATTATTTGTATTTGCACCAGGTAATTCCAACCTATGGAATTCCTGGAAGCCACTGTGAGAGAAAGACTAGATTTTAATCTCAATATGCTTGGGATAGACGCGTCTATATACATTTCAAATATCCCTTTGAGTATTTCTATTGATATAGGCTAGTAAGAAACTGAGTTCTTCCACCCATCCACCGATGTCTACCCCTCAGCCATGTCACATGGCCCAATCCTGTCTTTACCTGAGTTTTAGAAGTGAAAAGTATGAGCCTTATCGGAAATCTTTACCCAGGAATAGGGTCAAAGGAAACCACCAGCACTGAAAGATGAACTAGAATGTCTTACACCAGCCTATTTAACAACTGTTCAAGCTGGAAGATTACCATCAGGCAAGGATTAGTATCTGTGTGCAGTGAAAATCTTTCAGATACTGGAACTGGCTAGCTGAGTTCAGTGTTGGGCCGCAGCTGACTCCCACCTCCATATTTCCCAGTTCTGCAGGCGGGGAGCGTAGCTCTGGATCTGGACCAACGCTACATCCTCCAACAAGGGTGCATGTATGTAAAATTCCCTGGCTCTGGGAACGGGTACTTTGCATCTGGTTATACAAGGATCACTAATGCACTGAAAGATGAGGAACAATACAAACTTTATACAGAGATGACCTAAACCAAAATTCACTAGATCATAGCAAGCACCTTGCAGTTACTTTACAACAACATACCATAAAGTACAGTGTGAGAGCATCCCAATTAACAGCTTATCTTGGAACACAATGACTGTTGCAAACAGTCCACTGACTGAAAGAACAGGGGTCCTCAGCTCTGTTTCTTTTTGCAGCCCTACCAGGTAAGCCCCATCACTCAAGAAGCAGGTAGCAAACAATATTGTATATGGTGAAATCTGAACACCTCCCATTCTTTATAGGTGTACCTGAGCTTCTTCCCTGATTCCTTCATATTCCACCCTCATTTTCTTCTGAACATCCTCATCAACGCTGGGGTCTGCTGAACAAGGAAGCAGCTTCCTCTAGCAGCCTTTCCAGCAGGACTGACTGATTTAAGACATCATTCAGCAGAACCTGAGCATGGCTCAGTTGCCACTGCTTCTCCTTTAAGCCAAGCTGCAACTCAATGTCAGGCTCCAAGGTCACCCTCATGTTGTGAATCCATGCGTAAAACTCATCTTGGGCTTTCAGGTACTCACTCCAGTGCAGCCAGACCCACTCAATACGGCTGTTGGGGAGAGCAAGAAAGATGAGTTAGATGAAATTATGATGGGAGCAGTGGAGACTGGCGAGCTCAAAAGGCCTTCAAAGCAAAGGACAAGGTTCTCAGCAATTTTAAGCTGCTCTGACTTCAGAAGGTCAGGATTCACTTCCCAGGTCCTCCCTGCACAGGGAGGAAATACTCTGTACAAGGTCCCTGTGTCTGGCAGAACTCATCATTCAAGACCATGAGACGGGCTGGCTGTGAAGGGAGAGAGCACTGAGGTACCACTGACCCTCTCTCCCCGCACAGTCCCCCACACGCTCATGGGACTGGGATTAGCAGTGATTGCCATCTACAATCCAGACAGCAGAGAAAGGCAGGAAGCACTTTATGAAAGCATTGGATGAGACAACTGCCTCAACACACCAAATAGCAGTCTCGCGCAAAGAGTACATTTGTCTTACCTGTGACAGTGAGTAATGTATATGGCTGTCTCTTCCCACAAGGCTTTAATGTCTTTCAGTTTAGATAGTACCTCATGCTTCTTATCCTCACTGATGCTGCGAAGAGCAGCATCTGCCTTCACAAGAATCAAGTCCATTTTCAAGCTGCCTTCTGGTTCCAGCGCACGTATTTTCTATGAGAAAAAAAAATGAGACTGAAAGCATGAAAAGAAAGCATGCGTAACTGTTGCCATTTAGACTTTATTTTTACCCAGGAATCATGAAGTCCTTGCTGCAGAGCATCTCCTGAACAGAAAATATGAACTTCTCTTCAGATTTGTTTATTCTTAAACATCCTAAAGGACTGAATTGAATTGAAAACCATGTAGCAATTGAAAAAAACATTTTAAGTTAGCTACAAAAACCAGATCATCTTCTATCAAATATCTGTGGCTGTGTTTCCATTCCAGTTATAAAGTTATAGAACAACACATGCCAGTTGTTCTCCCCCACCTGCCAAAGAGTGCAGAGGCAATCTCCACAGGGTACACTGCAACATCTCAATTTTAAGCTCTACTATAAGAAATCATGAACTATATTAAAAAGGCTTCCTATTGCAAATAAAAGTGGGCTCAGAACACAAGCCAAGAGAAATTAACTAGTGGAATTTTCTGCCTGCTAGCAACTTTTGCTTTGACCCTAAATTGCTAAGTTATAAATTGGTGAAAACGTGTATCTTAAACAAATTGGAATGCCAGGAACTGAAAGTTAAGCCATCTAATTTTAAGTAGATTCTCTTCCTCTACCCAGAGATGGAAAATCAGTACAACTTCTGTAAACTTTTACAGGTTAATTACGTTCTGATTTGGATGTCAGCTATCAGCATCCCTTCATCCAAATTTCTGACACCATCAGATTAACTTCTCTTGCTGTTCTTCCACAAACTCCTGGCAAACTGCAGGCTCTCAAGTTTGAAGGAAAAGACTTCTATAATGAAAATGCTGAGAGGTTCAAAATCAGCAACTACTTTTGGAAAGATTAGGCCCATGGGATTTGTTCAAAAAAATCACGTCAGTTATTGCAAAGGTGAGACCAAGTCACAGGCCTTTGGATTTCCAGTCTCACATTCTGGGAAAAGAACTGTTCTTTTGGCACATACACAGCACATCTGCATGTGACGTACAAACAGGTGTTTGGACAAACTATCTACTATGAAAAGAGTGATTAAAAGAATCCAGGAAAGCAGGGCAAAGGGTAGGGTAGAGAAAGAAAATAAAAGCCACAGCTATCACCCGACAGGAAAAATTTAAGAGTAAAGCTGTATTCTAAGCCTGACATTTTTCCAGCACATGAAAGCAAACAACAGCTGGAGAAAAAGCAGTGGCTGTACAGGCATTTTCTTTTTCAAATCTGTTTTTTTAAATGATTGCTGTCTTTGGCTGGCATTTTCATTAACAAATTAACAGAAAATAAACCACAGGAAGGAAGCATGAAAAAAAATGCAAGCCAGATGCAAAAAAGGAACTGAAAAATGATCACCGGATTTGAAAACAGCCAATACGTGAAGCAGTGAGCACATCACAAGGAGACATGAGCTAGACAGGGAAGCCAGGCCCAGAAAGGAGGCGGGATGAGGGAGCAGGAGGTGGATAAGCTACACACAGGAAGAGAGAACAGACACTTGTTATACTTTAGAATGATGAATTTCCAAAATCTGAATTGAAAAAATCTTCTAATATGATTTTGTACATGTTACAGACCTCCTCCAAAGCCCACAGAAGTCAACAGCCTTCAGTTCAGGCCATATTAAATCACCACAAACCTCTAAACCTTACATCTTGTTATCTCAGCCATGAATGCATTCCCTTTGCCAAACTACCACTCCCCCTACTCAGGTTCCTGTGTTTCTTGCATGTTTTTTGAGACTGTACATATCATAGGTTCCCAGACAAAAGGAAAGGGTGAAAATAATTTAAGGACAGAAATAAATCTATAGACCAAGAGGAAATACTTCCGATTTTCATGACTGACATGCAAGTCTAGCCATCGTCCATCACTTCATGAACAGTCTCTATATTATGCCAGAGGCAAGATCCAGCCTCCAATGAGCCACAGTTAAGGAAAAAGGCTGAAGACATTGCTCTACCACCATGTAAACTACCTCTCCTCCATGTAAGCCTGCAATGGGGTTTTTTTGGAGTTGTTAAACTTCAGAAGAGGCAGTCCAAACATGAGTAGACACACAAAAAGAAAGACTTTTGGGTAAATAATGATGGGAAAGATTTGGCCATTTAATTTAAAGAACAGACTAGTTGGAATTAAAGGTAATACAAGTATAAAAATAGTTTCAGTGTTAATCATAGAAATACCACCACTCCCTCTAATCATGAATGGTAGAGATGGGACAAACAGGAGTGTTTCATTCTTTGAGATTACAAGAACAAGATAACATCTAATGAAACTGAAGTTAATGAATGTGAAATCACAGTAAGAGAGCAGGTACAATCTGCAACGGGATCTCTGTGAGAAAAGTTATACAAGAGATTAAGTAAGAACAGAAAAACATTAAAACATTTACCTTTTCATTAGACAGATTATAAAGGGGAACTGTAAACCCTCTTATCATCAGGGTTTATGGAAAAGGACAAGGGGATTACTCTAGAACAGCCCATTACTAGGACACCGCAATCTTTCTTTATCAATGCCAGAGTCCTGGAGGAGACGGAACACTAATGTGATCTGATTCTCCCATGCTACATGCTGGACTTCTGCAAATCACTATCTGGTTATTTCAAGCAGCAACTCAATTGTTTCAGGTTTGAGCATGCTCATAGGAGAGTGTAAACATTTTAACCTGCCAAACCCGCTGCTAGTCTTCCAAATTAATCTGAAAAGCTTGGAAACCTGTGATACCTAATTGCCATCCTCTTTTTCTACAATGGATGGAAAAATGCAGATGGAAAAATTAGAAAGAATACTGATGTAAACCCATCCACACAGGACCAATATTCCAGCAAGCAGGGGCAGCTGATAGTTTCCTAATGGAAAACTCCAGAGCTCACAGCAATAACTGCTGTAACAATGGCAGCAGTGACATCCACCTCTGAACTGGTACATCACTCGTCCCTTACCTCAGTCTCTCTCAGTCTAGCTTCTAGGGCAGATCGAGGTCCCTTGGTGTTGTCATTGATCCTCAGTCTCTCTTGGATGGCCTTCATCCAAGCTTCTGCATTTTCCACGCTACTGTCAAATTCATCCTGTAGCTGCTGAGTCATTGCATTCGAAGAAGCTGAAAGGATAAGAAACAGGGAAGTAAGTAGGTTTTGATTAAGACCTAAACAGGAATACATTCAAGGCAATCTAAAGGAGCAAGGGCAAAAAACTAATAATGTTATGGCTTTCCTTTTTAACCAAAAAATGTAGCAGTATCGTGATTCAGTCGAGCACAGAGAACACATTCACACTGCAGCTTTCCCAAATGAAAATATACCAGGAAACAAAAAGAAGGTGGGGAACTGTGGGAGGCTCCATTACAGTAAACAGATTTAATTCAAAGCTTTCAAATTAGATTAATCTGGTGTTGTGGTGTATTCCAGATTGGCTAAACTTCCCAGAGCCTAGGCAGTACAAAACTCTCTCTATGCCTTTCCAGAGCACTTCAGCACATGCTTAACTTAGACGTATATAAACCCTTTAAAGCTGGTGAGATCAGGATCAGATGCTTAGGCCCTCAGTTAACTTGTTCTTCTGAGATATGGAGAAGTTATCTGAATGCACGTGCAGTGAGTCTGGGATATACAGACACAACAGGAATTGGCCAGCAACTGCCAAGACAAAAAACTCACAAGCCATCACATGGGAATATCAACACTTACAGATTTCTTCTTTTGCCACCTCTTTTATTCCATACAAGACTCTGAGCTTTTCATTTTCCCCTCCCTCTCTTGTTGCCCCTTCCCAATCAGTGAGGGGGTGTGATGATTGCTTGCTCTGTCGACCTGCTCTTGTGTCTTCTCTGTTTAGAGCATAAGCTCTCTGCTGCCCAAATGGCCTCCTTTGTGCCTGTACAAAAGAGGAGAGCCATCCTACGCCCGCCCTTAGGCACTGCCAGACTCAACTAGACTAATAAGGATGCATCCTAACAAAGCCCCCTGTAGGACAGCTCTGCTGAAGTGAACAGAGATAGCCATTGACATTAAATGGTTTTGGATCACATCCTACAGCTACTGCCAGCCAAGCAGTCAGTGTCTCTTGTAAATTAAAATATTCTTCCTCTTTATTATTGATGACTGAAATATTTTTGCAGCACAGAGTTTGAGGGTTAATTACTGAACCCAAGTTTGTTGTGCAGAATTCAGTTTCACAGCAGCCCCCTCAGTTTCCATGAGACAATTCATGTGGAAGAAAGTGTTTGGTGCGAGAGGCAGAGCATGGCTGTTGGCAAAGCTGGACCAATGGTGTTTTGTAACCACTTTAACTCTCAGCAGCTTAGTCGTTACAGGGGAGAGCCATGCTGCTTCTGCCCACTGGCAGAAAGCTTCCCACCATCCTGCTGATGTTCCTGCACGAGGTAAAAGGATTCATGCAATATTAAATGTCCTCCCCCATAGCTCCCACTGCATTTTCTTCCACATTAGACCAGAGGAAACAAGATGTTAGTGTTCGCAACACCAATGTCTGGCAACAGAAACAGCTAAAGCGTTGCTTCCCAGTCTTCAGCAGGCTTTATGCTCAACAGGCCCCAGAACAGAGCAAGAGAACTGCACCTACAGAACAGCTACTGCCCTACCCACAGGGATTACTGGAGCAGAGGACTGGTCAGACCTCCATGCGCAGACAAGCAGAGCTGCATTTGCATGGAAGAGGGAATTCCTCTCTAAGTGGGAGATGTCAGATGGGGCAGAATCCAAAGCTGTAACTCTCAGAGCTAGAGGGCAGTTTTGAAAAGTGACCTCACCTTGAAAAGATTAAAGAATAGAACAGGATGTACTGGATTTAGTGATGATGGTTTGGCACGGGGCAGCTACTCTCTCTCTCAAATATAAAAAAAATGACAGGATATATAATTAAAGCTAAAATCATTGACTTAGATCACAAGAGTCCTAAGAATGAAGCCAGCTAAAGGAGTAATGTTATTTTCAGTGGATTGCTAGATAGCTGTGTCCTTCTCCAACTATGACTGGTCCAGAACTGACCCTCAGAACCCAATCCAATCCAATCCAACCCTCAGAAAAGAGGACACATCTCTTTGCAGCTGACTGATCAACTCATTTTCACATTAACATTTCTCATTATTTTCGGCAGCCATAGAGGGACTGTCCTCTACAACTTTCCCTGTTACATACATACATTTCTGAGCAAATAGTTTCTAAATGTGCAAGTGTAAGCTGTGGCGATGCCAGTTATGCTACTGTGAAACAAAAACTCATGGTACATTTGCTGGGTACACTCTGATGAGGAGTGGCATTCACTTCCTAAGAGAGGTTTCTATTTCTGGCAACATCCATATCATATTTAAAACTGGCTTCAGGACTCCAGTCATGGAATAGCCAATACAGAATATTACATTATTCTAGTCCTATTTCTTACAAAAAGTAGCGGGCAATCAAACATGGTTAAGAAGCAGTAGAAAACATACTGTCATGAAGAAAACACGACAGTTTCTTCATGAAGAAAACCCCACTCACACTCTGCCCTCATGCTGCTCTCCTCTGAGCACAAGAATTTTCTGTCCAAAAACCACTGATACACAGACCCCCATCCCACACACAGGCATTCCACGTAAGCAGCCAACGCAGGAAGTCATGAAAAATGTTATTTCAATATTAAGATCACCAATTTGCAAAGGAAGAGAAAAACTTTGTTACTTCCACTGCCTGCATAACATCGTTGACTGATTTTGACCAAGTAATTCCTACACCTAGCACCATAAAGACGATTAACTTTAACACAGACTCTGACCCAATGCCCAGGCGATTTCATGGTAACTTTATGACCTGCAATACCTGACATGGGTTTGGGCTGCCTGTTGAGACTGACTGTGTCCCGTCCTCCCTCCTTCCTCCACGCCAGGCAGCCAGACCCTGGCTGAAGCAATCAGCTACAGTGTCCTGGAGTCTTTTGTTCTGGAACCCGCTCACCCTTCCCAGGCATTAAAGGCGTGGGTTGATATCTGCAAGGAAAAAGTTATGTTTTCTGATTTATTTTCTGCTTTGGAGGAAGAACAGCTGTTGACTCTATCTGAAATTTGGCAGTATCTGTAATTTCTTTGCAAATGCTCCTAAAGCTGGGAGAAATGATTACTGGATAAGTGTTAATGAATCAACAGTATTTACCCCATTTCTGCTGCATCATAGGGACTAAATGATTGAGCAATACTTGTGGACATGAAATACAAGGCTCTGATCAGTACAAGAAACACAAAGGAGACGTAGCAGCTCCTGGAACAGACCTGAGCTGTTCAGCATTCACAGACCAACCTGTAACAGCAGCAGACCATTAGGGCCACCTGTACCATGGTGCGACAGCCCCTGTCCCAGGCCACAGGCTCAGTCACTAGGACCCGCTGTGCCAGGGAAAGCCTCCCCTTAATCACAGGTGCAATCCTCAATTTGTACAAAATTATTTTTATCATAGTCATTTTCAAATGCATGTAGCTGTTCAAAACAGCTTTTCATTTTAATGCCACTTGAATCGGTGTATTAATTCATACCATGGAAGGCATATTTATACTGCAGAAAATGTTTAGCATCTCTATACATATGTTACTAAATGAGGGTAACAACTATGCCTACGAAATTCTGGCATAGATAATGAGATGCTGAGCAACACCCGGTTTTATTTATCCAAATGCAGTAACACAGTCACTTAGTAGAGGTAAGGAAGAAGCATATTTCAAGCTGAGCGTAACTGACCCAGGACAGCTCCTGCAGCACATCCAGAGGTTATTAAAAAGCATGTTTCAGGAACAGGAAAATGTAAGACACAGACTAGCTCCAGAATCTAAACCTCTCCCACAACGCTAGTCTTCCTACCTTCTCTGAATCACCCTCCACGGCCCCCAAAACACCAGTTGGCAGTCTCTGCATAGGCACACGTGTTTCAGTGCCACAGAGGGCACGATGCCTCAGCCCTCGCCCAGTTGCTCTGCCAGACCCACTGCACACCCGCAGCACAAGCAGGGCTTGTACCGGGCTGCCTGCGGCTCAGCTACCACGCAGGGGATATCTGCACCTTTGGAAGAGGGGAAGATGAACTCCTGTGGCAACACACACCTGTCTCAAGTCAGCATCACTCCTCTGCCCCTCTCTCATCCAGGCACAAAACCATTTAGTGAGGAGGGAAGTCAGAGAACTGTGATCCCACCGCCTGTTCCCAAACTCCCTGAGGAGAAGGGGCAGCTGGCAGGGCACTGGGGGCACACGCGCTGTCCCCCTAGCTTGCCCACGGGCCACAGGCTCAACACCCCGACATGAATTAATGAGATCCAAAGCAATAGCAAGCTGGGTTTTGCTTATAAAATCTTCTCAGCTCCTGAGCTGTGCCCTGTTTGTGTTGGGCTGGGCTCAAGACAAGAGACACAGAGGCAGCCTTGTATCAGCTCTGGTCTTGGAGCTGTCTCGCTGAAAGAGCAGATAAATTAATTAGCTGAGTGCTCTGCATTATAGTTCTTGGAGCCATACATGGTAGCAGCACCACTGAGGGACGTGGAGATGCCTGGGTCTCCACGGCAGACCGTAACACAGTGAAAGGCACGGGTCATCCTCCATGTGATCCAACCAGCACTCGCGGGGCCAAATTTCTCTAAGCACTTCTTCCTTAAGTACAGCTACTTCAGCAATCTTTCTAGTGCATCTAATAACTCTCATTAGGGTATTGTGAGATTTACTTATTTAATATTTGTACTACTGAGAGCTTTTAAAGTTAGTTCGCAAGCGCAGTGTCTGTTTGTTAGGATTATCCTATTATTTTGCAATGTTTCCTAACGTACTATTTTCTCTCTGCCAAGTCATGCTGCTTTTTTTTAAAAAAAAAAAAAAAAACAACAAAAACCAACCAACTTCTTAAAACGTTTCTCACAACCACTCCCACTTTAAACATTCTTTTAAACCCTACATTTATAAAACATAGACTTTAAAATGGTTTCAATATGTCTTGGATTCCTATATTCACGTACTACTTGACTAGTTTCCAGAACCCAGCTCTTACAAAAATAAAAGTACAAAAATGCTCCAGGAAATTCAAATCACTCATCATTAGGGAGACCGTTTTCCAATTACTGA